TGAGCTGCTAGTTGATACTCTGTTAGCGTCGTTCTGTTTAATTTCTATTTTGATCTCTTCTGATTGTAATCGGTGCAAATTGTCCAATACAATATTGTTCAATACAACCAAGCCACGATATATAAATGCTATTCAGTTGACCCTGAAATAATTAAAATTTAAAACACTTAAATAAATTATAGTCAAATTAAATTAATGAAAAGAAAAAATCTTCAATATTTTTTTCTTATGATACATTTCTACATACATTCATAATCTTTATAATACATACATTTTCTTAGAAATTGTACTATAAATGAATATAGTAATTACGAACAAGACGGAAATTGCATCTTATTCTGATACCTATTACTTACTCGTGTTTTGCCATTAAAGCGCCAATGGCAGCCTTATGAATTTGCATGATCTCATTGAGGGAGGTCCTAATTTCTTGCATCAGAAATGCTGTTTGCAAAAGTTTTCCGTGAAACAATATTCATTCATTAAATCTATTGTCAAATAAACATTTCATATTATATCTATTTCTTATCTATGTTTAACATACACTAATTACAAAATGTAATTAAAATAATATATAACGTTATAAATGTATACAAAACAAATAGAAAAATGAATATTGCATTTGCAGTGAATAATTCTAAATGTGAATTATATTATAACATAATAGGCGTGTTTGTTGATTAAAGATGCAAAAGAAAAAATAACAAATCATTATTTATGAAATAACGATAAAGTTATTTATATAAAGATAAACAAGCAAGATAAGGATAAGATGAACAAGGATGAATGAACTTTTAATTTTTCAAGTGACAGTGTGTCGCTAACATCAATACAAAGTTCTTAACTGAGTACTCATTTAAAAGTATTCCATCACATTTTATAAAGAACTTATAAGAAACATAACTTAAAATATTTAAATCATTTCACATATCATTTTCATCATATTATCAAAATGGATGGAAATTCAAACTGCCAGAAAGAAAAGAAACAAAATATATAAAATAAAAAATGAAAGTATGTTGTTACCTTGAGTATTATCCAAAATTAAATAGCAAATATTTTTTACATAGTATGAAAAGAACATGAAATTGTAATATTAATTTATGAAAGGATTTACCTTTGAACAAAGAAGACAGAAGATAAAAAAGACGGAGCAGGCAGCAGAGAGCAGAAAATTGCAATTGTTCCTTTGAATCTGTTCTGTAAAAGCAAATTGAAAATTAAATAGCAAATATTTTTATATAGAAAAGAACATGAAATTGTAATATTAATTTATGACAATGTTCATCCAAGAGTACAAACAAAAAAGGTAATATTGCTTTATTAATTTTACAACATAACCTCAAATTATGAAAGGCACTAATTTTTCGAGAAATTAGCAAATATCCGAAAAAATATTTTTAAAATATATTTTTAGTAATATCTTCTAAATTTATTTTATAGTTTCTATTAATAATATCAAGAAAAAAAAGAGAATTACCTTGGATTATATCGCTGATCACATCAAGTCACGTTTTACTAATATCGCGCGTTGCGTTGTTACATAACCTAATGTGAACGCCGGATAGAAATCGAACAAACTCAGAAAGAATTATACTAGCGCTTAATGATTCGTTCCACTTAACGCTCACAATATTGACTTGGTGTCAAATATAAATATCAAATTAGAATTTTTATAATTTAATAACGCATCTGTATAATTAAAAATGAGCATAAATTTGACAATATTAGTCGATTAAAAGTCTAACATAAAAAGTCGACTTTAATATCCTTGCAAATAGTTGATTTTAAATCGACTTATTGTAAGACAAGTAAAATAAAGATAGAAATCATTACAGAAATAATCGGCTAAACGTCGACTTTACAAGTCGACTTCAAGTCGACTAAAAAAGTCGATAATTAGTCGACAAACAATCATTTGTGCTGTATGGATATAAAGATTTATATATATTTAATATATATAAAAAAAATATATATATA